GAGTTGCCGTCAATTCCCACTCCCGTGTCGTCCCATTCCAATATTCGCTTGACGTTCTCTACAACGGCATTGAATGGTCCTGGCGAAATGGTACCGTCTTGTCCTACGCCTCGTCTCCCGTCGATGTTAATGTCCTCGAAAAGTGGGAAAATCCAAGTTGTGAAGTTGTCATAAATCCACAAACCACCCTTGTGTCTTACATAAATGCCTTGCTTTCCCAAGCTCCTATGGCGGTATCATTCTCCACTAAGATGATGGCCTTTTTCAAGATGACAAGAGAAAACGGCAGATACTCTGGTAATACCTTGATGGGCCGTGAAACCGATTTGCTCAATGATGCTGAATCCTTTTCGAAACCTTGTCTGCTCGCATGGCCCCTTCATCCCGCGTTCTTTTAAACCTAATACATATAACTCTAGTGAATGTTAAAATATAATATAACAGCGGGCAGATTGGGCGGTAACGGTACGGTATTAACGACGCGGAGTTCCTCATTATGTACGACGGCAGAGTTTTGTTAGTTTTCCATTGATGATAATGTTGTTGTAGTTGTTGTGTACGATGCTCCTACTCTGCCAAGGGAACATGCTATTATTATCATTGTGTTCAGCCATGGAGAGTACTGGGCTGTTTCTTCTAAGTATTCGGACTTGCGGTGCTTGTCAGACTCATCTGTGGTTCGCGACTGGCCCGTTATTCGCATCCGCCATGTGAGCTATGACTAGCTGGCTCAAGATCCTTTTGAAGAGGGAGCTCCATGAATATAAAGATATAATTAAATGAATAAATACATGCTTATGGTTTTTCCCAACCGGTTTTCCGTAGTTATTTTGAGTTTTGCAAATCATACCACGCACATTTTATGATACACAATCAATAAATGCTTCAGCAATAATAACCAGTATTATACCTTGAGAGTCTCCTTTCGAAATTTACCCACTGTGTGATATTTGTCTTGCTGAACGGTTCTGGTAACATTCTTATCTTGAATATCTGACATAGTCATTGGTCCCTCTTATTTAGTTTTCTTCCATTCTTCGAATTTTTCGAAACATTGCAAGGTATTTCTTGCCTTTTTTTTGAGCAAAAAAATGGCGTACCCTTTCTTTCGTTAGATAAATATTTGAACCAATACTTTCATTGTGGCTGCTTCGTCTGTAGTCGGGATTTGTTTGATTTGCCTATCCCCTCACCAATTATTCTCTCCTCTCCTTTCCCCTTCTTGGCTGCACTGTCACTGTTCGATCTGCCAACTGTCGATCAATCTTTGTGGTTGATTTTCTGAACAGCAATTTAATACAAAGGTTTGGTCCCGCCTTTTTCTTTATTTTAGAATATTAAAGGTCAGATGCAATCTTTTACCACACTTTTTATTTTGACATAGCCATGAACTTCTGGCTAACAGGACGAAAAATAAACAACTACAACGTGGAAGCCAGGGCAAAACCGACTGTGCCTCTTTGGCAGGTCTTAAGGGCTCTATGACGTATCTTGTGAAGCGGTTCTCTCCTAATTGAACAGTAGCGAGCTGTCGCTGATAAAACGCACAAGCGATAGTAATAGGGGCTTATTATCGTTCTATTCATGTTGCATTTTATGTGTTTCATGAGAACAACGACCACAACGATCTCATAATTTCCAAAGTCTCTGATGTAATTTATATTCAAGGAGAGCGATCTTCAAAGAAACAACCTCATCACTTTTATAGCAGTAAGAAATCAATGATCTCGATAGATCAGTGATCGCTATTCATTAAACATTTTTTCTTCTCAAAACCCATTGCTAAAAGTCTGCCATCGCTTTTTCTTTAAACTAACTTTTCTAATAATCTTATTAAATTGCTTGATGATAGTCTGCTTAAGGCTTGATGATAGGTTGCTGAAAGCCGTTAAGCGAAGAAAAAAGTATGTACATAGCGTTCGTTGTCCAATCGCAAACACAAACACGCGTAGCGTCTAGCATTTGGAAGCTTATCAGCAAGAACATCAAAGTTGTGAGAGTTTGCCTGTGGTCTGAACTTAACGTTGCGCTCTTACTTTCTCATCTGTAGGATTTCCATGTGTCTTGAATCTTGGGGGAATCTCAAATAGGAATCCTGGGAAATTTCAAATAATCACAGCCGCTTATCATCCGGGCTCAAGAGTCTACTAAAAAACATTTAGAGCTTTGCTAAAAGTCATAATCTCTCGTGTTGCAGCTCATCTGTATAGACCTCACATATACCAATTCAATCCACATTATTGACAATACAGCCAATTTGACTGTTTTGTGCCGAGCGTTACTAATTTGTGATAATTATGGACCTAGCATTTCGATAAGCCAGTTGCGACTGATTCTCAATGTCAAAAATTTTATTGTAAAGGAACTACTATCAAATGAGATTAGACTTGATTTCTGATTTTTGATTTATGATGATGTCTCCAAAAGTTCGTGGAAATGCTTGTGCTATGCTCTTATCCCCAAAATTTTTCCGTGGGTCAT